CCATTATATGGAGCACTACGCTATAAAAAATAATTCAAACATGCATAAGTATAAGCCAATAGGGTTTACTTGCAGTAATCAGATTATTATGCGCTCAGATTTGGATTATCTCCACAACAATCCTAGGGTGATTCTATTTAGTTTCCCCCGCGGAGTATGTTGGATGTACCACCAGTCGGGTCTTTGGTATTCCCCATTTCCCTAGTAAGTTTGTGGTTTGCGCTTGCCCTTGCAATCCCTTGGTTATTTTACCCGTGTTTTCTTTCCTGTTATAGTGCGAGTAAGAGTCAGTGTATAGCCTTTCTTGCTTCTCAAGTATTTGAGTATCCATTTTTGGTGTGTGGTGACTCAGATGATTGCCACTCTTGAAGAATTACACCCCTCCTTTGGCCTGAGGAATTTGGTAGTTCTTTCGTATTTGCAAACTTTTAAAGCCCAACGCGTGTTGTCAATCCTTGTTTAGATTCCCTACAACTGGTCTCTTTTTCTAATCACAAGTCCGCCTTCAACCGACGTTCTGTTTGGGGTTAAATACATATGGGAATCCCCAGTAAGTTTGTGGTTTGTGCTTGACCTTGCAAGCCTTTCGTTAATTTACCCGTGTTTGCTTTGTTGTTAGAGTGCGAGTAAGAGTCAGTGTATAGCCTTTCTTGCTTCTCAAGTATTTGAATATCCATACTTAGTGTGTGGTAATTCAGATAATTGCCACTGTTGAAGAATTACACCCCGCTTTTGGCCTGAGGGATTTTGTAGTTCTTGCGTATTTGCAACCTATCAAAAGTCAAACGTGTTTTGGAAATCCTTGTTAGAGTCTATTTTGATTTGTCTCTTTCTCTTGTAGACTTCACCTTATATCGGTGCTCTCTGAAGGTCCTGCTTAGTCGGTTCCTTGTATTCGGTTTATCCTTGTTAGTCGAGTTCTCCTTTTGTTATCTTAGCTAACCTTCTCTGTTAAGAGTCCTTCAGTGTCTCTTCAAATTCCAGTTGTCTGGCGTCTTTGTTTAGGCGAATGCGTCCTTTCTTGTTTGGGATTTCTTTGGTTAGTATCGTTCTTCTATTCGTTATCATCTCCAAACATTTGTTTCTTGATGCTCGATTTCGCTCGTGTGTGTCTAACTCTGACCAGATATGCATATCTTTATCCCCTATGAGTTCGCCTTTGATTGGCATTCTTTAAATCCACCTTCAGATGGTACCTTTTGTCAAGAGTCCCCTTTTGGATGGTCTCTTTTCATTGTAAGTTCGCCTTTGATTGGCATTCTTTCCTTAGGAATCTACCTTTGGCATAATATTCCTTGATGAAGATTCTCCTTCGGCTGGTTTCTTTATCTTGAAGTCCACCTTCGGCTGGCATCCTTTAAATCCACCTTCGGCTGGTACCTTTTGTTAAGAGTCCCCTTCAGCTGGTCTCTTTTCAGTTGTAAGTTCTCCTTTGATTGGGGTTCTTTTCTTAAGAATCTACCTTCGGCATAATATTCCTTGATGAAAATTCCCCTTCTGCAGGTTTCTTTATCTTGAAGTCCACCTTTAGCTGGCACCCTTAAAATCCACCTTCAGCTGGTACCTTTTGTTGAGAGTCACCTTTGGCTGGTCTCTTTTCATTGTAAGTTCGCCTTTGATCGACATTCTTTTCTTAGGAATCTACCTTCGGCATAGTATTCCTTGTTAAAGATTCCCCTTCGGATGGTTTCTTTATCCTAAAGTCCACCTTCGGCTGGCACCATTGAAATCCACCTTCGGCTGGTACCTTTTGTTTAGAGTCCCCTTCAGATGGTCTCTTTTATTTGTAAATTTTCCCTTGATCGGCGGTCTTTCCCTTTAAATCCACCTTTGGCTGGTATCATTTGTTAGGAGTCCCCTTCGGCTGGTCTCTTTTCTTTGTAAGTCTTCCTTTGATCGGTGTTCTATTCAGAGTCAATGTCTACTTGTGTCCCCGGTAAGTTTACCTTCAATTGGCGTTCCTTCGTTAGAGCCTTCTTCGGTCGGTCTCTTTCTTGTGTATGTCTAACCTTGACTTGACATCCAAGAGATTTACTCAGGTAACTAATGCAATCTAAAAAAGAAAAAAAATAGAAAATACAGAAAACCAAAAAAATATAATAATACCTGACTGGCTTCGGAGTGCAAATTTTCTGTTCTTTAAGTATTTAATCTTCTTCCACCCTAAAAGTTCGAAAGGCTGACGCCAATCTAACCTTAAGGTTGAAGGCAATTAAATAGGGGCAGCTATTGCACCCCTTTTATCTGGCTTAGACTTTTGCATTCACATCTTTTCATTAGGTCATCCGCACTAACATAACATGTATTTGCATTTAATAAAGCATCAGAGGTTCTGAAGTTTTGTAGGTGTACAAGCTAGGGTTTTTACAGTGGACTGAGATATAAATGTTCAATAAAGTTTGAGTTCCTTGGTTCGTTCCTCAAGTGGTGAATTATGAATTAGGTTCTCCTCTTCCCAAACACATGTTTTTGTGCATGATATGAGATGTGGCACCATTGATAAGGTTCAAGTCATTAAATTGGATTTCTTTCAAAGGCTTGTTCATCATATATGTGGTTCTTGTGAATCATGGAGTAAGAAGATTCATTGTTGTGCTTACGCTTATCATCGAAACTAGGGTTCGTCTCCCAACTCATGTGGCTCACTATCATCCAAGGGTCGATTTGATCGATTACTTGGATTACAAAGCATAAAACATGGTTTTGACACAATAGAATAAAGTTTAGATTCGTCTATATCTCACTCCATCAATTAGAGATCTGTGTACCATGTTTCAAAGATACTTTTCTGGTTAACTTTGAGCTTAGGATGTAAAGCATTCAGGAGTTAAGATTCAATTTTGAGTCTATGGGTTCATTAATCAAGCACGCCATTTGAAGTTACCTGAGATTCAACTTGTCATGAACATTCGAGTTGCAGATGAGGATTGATTTAAGATGAATATGGAATAGAAGGTTTTAATACGGTTCGAGAATAATTCACTTAACTTGCTTGGAGAACCAGTTAAAAAGTGGCGTTTTATCGATCGAGATTAAGGTGTTCGCATCCAATAAAAGCTCATTTCTTCTGATTCTTCTGGTTAATTCTTCAAGTAGTGAAGTGAAGTGAGGGTTTCTAATCCTTTATGGTCAGGCTTGGTTGGATTTTCGTCTGAGGTGTTTTTCTTAATACAATCAAGTGATTTTCTCAAGGATGGATATTTAGATTTAAGATTTTCCTTGTGGAGGACGAATCAAGTCGTCTTCTCGTATGTGGTTTTCATCCTTTAGTCAAAGTGTAGTTTATATGATGATGGCCATTGGAGACTCGTCTTTCATCAATTCAAGGTGCACTTGTTGCTTAAATCACAAGGTACTGATTGTGGCATTAATGCACTAGATTCATCTATTCTTTAGTTAATCAATCAGGGTTGGATGCATCATGATCCTAAGTATATTATCTGGTAAGTTTTTGTTTCTCAAGACTTGATTCGTGAATAATTGGTACAAGATAGTCCTTTTAGGATGTTCATTTGAAGTCTCTGGGTTCAAATTGGGTTGCTAAAGTCCATAATCGAGAGCTCATTAGAATGTTGAGGTTTTAGCAAAGGAAGTGAATTTCATTTAAGCATCACTCAAGATTACATCTAATCCCATTTGAGTTTCTACTTTGAATACGTGGAATGCACAAAAGTGAGAAGTTAATACTCCAAAATAATTTGGATTGTTTGACAAATATCTTGTTGAACTCACATAATGATCATAAGATCTTATGCAAGAAATTAATCAAAGTAAATCAGATTTTCAAGTTCAATTTGAAAGAAGAGAATGCTTTGAATAATAGGTATTTCGTCATTTGAAGTCAAGAATTAGCAAGGTTACATAACAATTTAAGTTGCATTTGTATCTTCATTCAAGTTCTATTTTGCCATTACAAGAAGACTGGAAATCTCATTCCATCACTATTTACAAAAGGAAAAGAAACCAAATATTACTGTATTCAAAGTGCATCATATACATGAATAAAACTACATAAACTGTTTGTCTTAACCCTAATGTCCTAAGCTTTCTTCATCTTCTCCAAATAACTTTCATTATGCCTTACCTTCGAATGCTTCAACCAAATGCCACGTTTTCTTTCAAGTTTCAAAACCAAGATGACAATTAGACCAAACCTGCTCTGCATACAATTGTCAAAATCGTGCCAAATAAGTCCCAAAAATGCTTGATGAATCTTGCTCCAAGATGCCATCTACACTATGCTAAAACAGTTGCCGTGATAAGTCCTGTTTCAAAACCCAGAAGCAGAAACTAATTTTTTTTATACTAACCCATGCTTCACAACTAAAAAACTAAGCTAGCTAGGAGTTCCTAAACACATTCTAACAACCATAACAAAATTTATGAGATCCTAACTTCCTCTAACCTCCTAACTGTTTCTAACATAATTTCAACAACCAACTAACCATCATTAATCCCTAAATCTACTTCTCAAATAAACACTTAATTGTTGTCTGACTTTTTTAACCTACTGAATTCATCCTTCAACATCTCAATAAATAAAATTTCCACGCTAAAGCTAACCTCCCTTCCCTCTACTGTCAGTTTTGAAACCATGTCTATTTTCCCCTCTAGAAATTTTCTCAAACAACTTCAGAACTTTCATTAACAGTTTTGTAATAGAACGCCAGGTCATCATAATTTCCATAACTAACTACAAACAGAATTTCAAAGCCCTAAATAACACTTAACTGTTTTCAGTTTTAAGGTCTTAACATAATTGCTAATTATCCAGCTCATACAACCGATTCCTAACAGAAACTAAGTCCCTAAAAGAAAAATGCTAACTATCAGCTAACTCCTCTAACCAACCATCTAACAAACTTCTCAAGGATTTTCAAGAAAAGGAAAGGAAAACAATAGTTAGTTACAAAAAAAGATTGATAACAGAATGTAACAGAATGGTGAGAGGGGGTGATAGGAGGCATTCATAACAAAAATTGAGGTAAGAAAATTAGGGAATGAATTGCTATCTTCACCTTTTTCAACCACCTCCAAATTCTCTGAACGCACAACTTCATCTTCATCTTCATTTTTCACTTCATCAGAAGGATCACTGCAAAGAGCTCAGAAGTTCTCCCTGCATCCACTCTCCAATTCGTAAAAGCATCACAAAAATAATTCCCTGGGCTCTTCTTTCCTCTTCCTTCCATAATTCTTCAATGATAGAGGAATCACCTTGCACCTTCAACTCTCCTCTTCCTCAGTGTAACACATTCTTCATCATCAACCTGCAATTGCATCCTCATCTGTAACGACCTCACATGATACATCATCTTCAGAACCACATCTTCATCATCAACACTTCATCAAGATTCTTCTTCATTGTTGTGTCTGCATCAACATCATCACATCAATCTCCTACTTATTCAACATCAACGTTTCAACATCTTCGCATTACAAGAACTCAATGCACACAACCAAAATGCAACAACAGAAACACAAAGAACGAAAAGAAGAGGAAGAAGAAGATGGAGACAAGAACACACATACCTCATTCTATGGATTTCTCTGGTTTTCTCATCATCTTTATCAAATGAGTGTCATACGTTCTTTGGCAGGTAAGCTTTGACGCTTTCTTTTTTATCGTGTACACTGTCTTTTGTGACAAAATTGATCGAATAGTTTGAATCGGTGGAAGCGGGATAGAAAATAAGTCGTTCACAGAGGATTGAATCGCAAACGAGACCGCGATGATGAATTAAAGAGGAGATGAACACTGATATCGCGAACAGAGTGAGACGGTTTCTTTGTCATCGTCAAAGAAGGTCGAAGCAAAAGTGATGGTGATGAATCATATCAGGTGCGTTTCATCTGAGACGGATGTTAATCGAGGCCGTGAAGTCACGGCGCCGCGGTGTTCAATGGGTGAGGAAGATGGAGAGAATTGGGAAGCGCCGCCGAAACTCGGTTAGGAAGGGATAACACGTTCTCACAAAGAAGTTGGAAATCCAAAAATTCTTTTACCCTAAGAACTCCTTGAACGCATGCGTTTTACCCATTTTACCTTTATTTATTTTTTATTTTAACAAAAATTTGATGAAATAATTGGAAGTTTAAAAAAGTGATGTGATAGTGTTGATTTCGTTTGGGCCATTGTACTGGGCCTGCTGATTACACACTCCCCTGATCCGCTACACCTCCCTCTAGGCCCGTGTATACTCTTTTTTAAAAAACCTAATACACAAACAAAAAAACTGCTTGTTGGATCCTTTGCAATGGGCCTAGAGTTTGCTGCTACCTTACCATCCGATTCAGTCACAAACCCCACCTCTATTTTTAGTTAATTTTGGATTCCTTTTTAGTAATTTTCTTCTGTTGAATTTTGTTAAGCAAAAATATTGATAACAATAAAATTGTTAATTGCTTTTTTAGGAATTTAATATAATTTTTCTAGGAGTTCTTTGTTTAGAATTTTAGTTAGAAATTTCTATTATTGTTTACATTTGGTAAGCATTTTGTTATCAAGATTTTGTGATTCGTTTTTTTTTGTCGAGATTTGAGTCTGTTGCAGGTTTATTGTGTGGTATACGGATGCACTTGAGATTTCGATTGTTATTTTTTTTAACATTGATGATGCTTCGACGTTTATTATGAGTGTTGATTTCTGACTCTTTTCTTTGATTGGTGAAGCATTCGCAAAGATTGTAAAGTTTCTTTGTTTTAATACACTTTGCTACGAATTGATATTCATTTGGTATTTTCTCTTGTTTATCTCATTTTGCACTTTACTTCTTTCTAGATATCATTAGAAGTAGGAAATAAAGAGCGTGCGCCCGAAGTCGCTGTTTAAAGACCTGTAGCAGGCATTTTTCACTTCATTGGCTATATGTGTTGTGCTTGTTTTTGTTTCCTTGGTTGTTGATCGATGAGTCACTCAATTTAGAAATTGAGATCACAACTTCGCTCTCAGTGCATGCTACTTATAGGATTTCATCGCTTTCCTTGATTTCTTATTGATCGATAAGTCACTTAATTTAGAAATTGAGATCACGACTTCACTCTTATTGCATGTTCCCCGTAGGATAGTTTGGTTAGACTTTCTTTGGAATGCTAACCTAGATAAGATATCTCTAGGTGTGTTCTCTTGAGCTTATTGGCTTGCTTGCTTGATTTCGTCTTTGTGTGCATGTTTTGAGATGATATACCCTTGGCATGTTCCCTTAGGAGCTCACTATTCAACTATAGATGATGATTCAAGATAGACATAGTTTTAGGTGATGGACCCTTGCTATGCTCGTTTAGGACTTCTTGATTCATCTATAGATGACGAGTTGAGATAGAGATTAGTATTTTTATCTAAGCATGTCAACTTAGGGTCGAGATTTCCCTTCAAAGCTCAACCATAGAACCACCGTTGTATGATACCATTAGGGATAGACTTAGGCTAGTCTCCCTGATATGTTTTTTCTTTCTTTCTCATCCTTGCATTAAAACAAAAAAATTCTTTTTCTTACAATCCTCAAAACACTTAAAAATTACTGATGAGAATCATACTTTGTTGAGCATGGGAAATGATAAGCGAGTCTCTTCTCGATTTTATTGTTCTTCCATTCTAATCCTTGGTGTGGTTCAAGTCTCAAAGACTTATTTCATGAATAAGTAGAGAAATGGCTAATATCTCTCTCTTGAGATTAACTAGCTGTTATCCATAGCAAAAACACCAACAAATACAAACTCTTTCGCCTTTGGGATTTTCTTTCGAAACTATTTTCAAAAGAACATGTTAATTCACTTCTGTGATGATGCGTAAGCCTCCAAAGGTCGAGATGCGGCAGAAGGCGAAATTAATCTTGTTCATTAAAAAATACAAACCAACAAAATCATTTGAAGCCGAACTACAACTGCCATGATTCCTTAAAAGGGATACGTAGGCATTGGGGTAGGGCCCGAACGAGCACAACTTTTATTTTCCCCGCATCATTTTCTCTTTTCTTTTGCATGCATTCCATATACAGTTTGGATACAAATTCTTACACACCCTTTGATTAGAACAATAAGAGTGGATACCGTAGAGTACTACGGGCGTGTGGGGTGCTAATACCTTCCCCTCGCGTAATAGACTCCCTTACCCGTTTCTCTTTGTTGTTTAACCTTGATTTCACCCTTATCAGGATTATTTGATGTTTACCTTTCATTTCCGGTGGGATAAAAACGTTCGACGGCGACTTCATTGATTTCATTATCAGTTGATTGTTATGTCGATTGTTTCATTCGTCCGTCACACATTATGTGACGACCGCCAGTCATTTGCAAAGTGTACTGCTCGACACATATTCTGTTCCCCTCGGCACAAACTTTATTACAGAGCCGCATATTCATTTCAAACAGATACCAGATTCATTCTTTTCTTGTCATCTTCTTCCAAACAATTAAACACCATTTAAAACCTTTTCCATATTCCTCACCCATATCGTTCCACATCCATTGAATTTCTATAATTATCATTAAACACCATTGAATTTCAAATCCCTACATTCTCTGCTTTTTTATATTTAAGCACTAAATTAACATATATCTAAACCCACAACTTTCTGTTATCTTCTTGAAACCTAACCTTTCTATCTTCCTTATATATAATCATGTATCGACGGGTTCAACATGCAAGAGGAGAGTCCGACCTGTCCGAAATTGTGTTCAAAAACGGAGAAGCTGGGGTACACCAAGAAGCTTAGTACCATAATTTTATCAATGTTTGGTCATAACCACAAGGTATTTTGATGTTAACTACCTACGTAAGTTGGGATTGTTAGAGAGTGTGCAATGGCTACTTCATAATTCTGACCTATCTTATGCCTGCATCCTGAACCATCCGACTTATGAATCTTTGACATTTGACTTTTTGAGCTCTTTCTTGTACAACACCTCGACAGAAGACAACATGTATCTCACGGGCAGTGCTAACTATTGGATGTTTAACGATGAATACTCTATGAATCAAGAGGCTCTGAGTGATTTGTTACGTTTTCCTCATGGAGGAGAAGCGCACTACCGAATCCCTTCAAAAGCCGATTGGGTATCGGCTGCCTTCGATCTATAGAAAGTTCTAACCGGTGAGCGACCTTCAAGTTAGGAGGGTGTTTTTGCTTCATCTATCCATAATCCTTCCATCCGTTACTTTCATCGCATGCTTTCTGTTGTACCCATAAATTTGCCCTCCCATATTTCTCAAGACATTACAAGAATAATCTCCAAGTGGCTCAAGATTCCTCAAGAATTGGACAGTCAAGTCATCTCCTAAGGCAGTCAACCTCAAAATTAAGGTTTTGTGTTTCATCAAGGTCCTTACATCAAAATGACCTAAAATTCTACCCAATTTCCTAATATGTTCTCAAGTTCATCCATGTCAAATTTCAAGCCTTGCAGAGAAAGTTTGGTCAGTCAATTGCTCAAAAGGTCCAAAAATCGACAATGCTAGGGCAAAAGTCAACTGTGACTTAAAAATAGTCAAACCTCAAGATTTTTTGTCCACATTCTCATTTTTAAGGATAATTCATCATTTTATCAAGGTTTTATCATGATTAATCAAGGATTGCTCAAAATTCATCAAGATTCAAAAGTTCCTAAATTAGGGTTTTGTAGGAAAAGTCAACTCAACTTTGACCAAGCATAACTTTCTCATACTTTATGCGAAATGACCCATCCAAATCTCATTTTGAATAGGATTCAATTCCCTACAATCCATCTTCACACCCCAAGATCAAGAAATGCACTCACAAAAAGTTACAAATTTGGACATTATAGGTCATTTTTGAAAGTCAACAAAAACACCTTTTTTGCAAAAACTTATAACTTGAGCGTGGAATATCAATATTATAGGAGACAAAAAGGGTTGGTTAGAGGTCATCTCAAGGTTTCTAAAAAGTCAAAGAACACCTCCAAAAGTTCAAAATTGAAGAAGTTATGCATTGTTGAAGTTGGGCATTTTTCCAAAATTGCCAAAATTCAACTATCCCCAAAACATCAAATTTTGTCAAATGGCCCCACTTTTTTCCACTTGATTTGATCTTGTCACATTACACACATGTCCTATCTTCAGTCTTGTGTCCAATTATTAATTTTTCTATTTTATTTTTATTGAATTAATTCATTTTTAATCAATTTAAATCCAAATAAAATCCAAATCTTGATCACTTGGAATCTTTTTGATTGATACAGGTCTTAATTATCATTATGGACATGGTCAAACTCGTATCAAGCCATATCAAGCACAAAATATTGGATTTTGGACAAATTTGGAAGCTTTTTCATGGAG